GGATGCCTCGGAGGTCGGGTGGGGAGCCGTAGCGGGCCTCGTACGGCGTCTTGCCGCCGAGTGCACGGGTCGACGCGCGGTTTTTTAACCACGTCGCATGGAGCATGGCGTACGGCCACAGGTACTGGGGCAGCCCGGACTCGATTAGCATGGCCCGGGCGTGTTCGGCGAGCGTGCGGTTCACCCGCTCCGCGACGCCATTCTCCTCGGGGGTGTCGTGCACGGTGACGTCGTGATGCGTGCCGCGCTCCACAAGGAAGCTCTCGAACTCCTTGCTGGTGAATTCCCCACCATTGTCCGAATGGAAGACCTTGATCTTCCGGCCTTCCTGAGTTTGCACCTCGGCGTCGAGCGCTCTGTACGCCGGAAATGCCTGACTCTTCTCCTTTTCAGGTACAGTCTTAGTCCAGCGTGTCGCGTCGTCCGTAAACATGACGCAGTACTTATTCCCCCCAAGGGACGTGCACCCTGCTGCCCAGGTGTCGGAGTGAAAGTACTCACCGTAGCGTTTGGCGAGCTCGCTCGAGCGCTCCTTCGGTATGGGCACGCGCGTAATCTTGGCCTGGACGCAAGCCTCGCAGGTCTCCGCAGCGGGGCCTCCTATGAGCCTCACGCCAAGGACTCTGCCCTCCTGTATCATCTTCCTCCCAGCGACGGGGGAGATGTGCCCCATACAGCGGTGAAACTCAAGTTCTGACATTTCTGCTACAGGGCCCCGTTCAACGACGGCAGCAGCAGCAACAGCAGCAGCAGCAGCAGCAGCAGCAGCAGGTTCGGGGTGGCGTACTTGATAGAGTCCGTTCGTCGTGTGGATCCTGGCGATCGTCTCTCCGGAGTTGCGCTGATACAGGCGGCATTCACCTTGCTCGAAAACGGCGGAGTATCCCGCTTTATCGGCCTGTGGGATTGATACGAGCGAAAACGCGATGTCTGGCGCATGCAAGACTCGCTCGAGCGTCACGACGGTGCTGGTGTCACCATTCGGCAGCTTCTTGCGGACTTGTCCTTCGCCTATGGCCAAAAAGATACGTCCGTCTGCAGCTGTGATTGGACGTGGGGGCTGAAGCTTGTGATAGGAGACAAACTCGTCTCGATATGGCGATATATGGCGGGTCGCACCGCTGTCGTAGATGTCCACTCTTTCTCCACTCGCAGTGGCGGAGATTAAGGCTGACTCGTCGACAGTGATCGCGAAGGCATGCTCGCTCGGTTCAGTGGCGGCGTTTGCGGATGCACCGCCTCCTCCACGTCGGTCGCCCTTCGGCATCTGGTCCTTGGGTCCTTGGCCTTCCTTCCCCCCGCCCTTTCGCCAGCAGTCCGCTTTGACGTGTCCCTTACGGTGACAGTTGAAGCATTCGACATCCTTCCGGGTCTTTCCAGGCTTTGCACCTTGGCGGGCGGCAAGTGCGGTGTCGGAGGGTGGCGACTGGGCGGTGCGCCGGTCGTACTCCTCAGCGATTGATTGGACAATGTCGAGCGGCGTGAGAGGGTTTCGAGCGAGACGTGCTGCGGTCGAGAGTGACGTGAGGAGGTAGCCATAGGACTCCGGCAGCGACTGGAAGATCGCGGCCGAAAACTCCTGATCTGGGAACTGGGCGCCCATGGACGCAAGCTGCTCTCGGAGGTTCCAGAGCGTATCGAGATGATCGCGCACGTTCGCTCCCTCCGGGCATCGGGTATTCAGAAGGCGAGTACGGATGACATTTGCATACATCTCGGATTTGCCTTCGTACTCATTGACGATTGCGGCCCAGACACTGGCGGCATCGGGCAGGTATTTGACCTTCAGCAACATAGTGTCACTGATCGTACTGTAGATCTGCTGGCGGGCGGCAAACTCGCGCTGGTCGTACTCGTCGGCCTTCGTCTCAGCTTCCTCGACCTTCTTAAGGTACTCCTCGTCGGACAGGTTCGAGTACGGATCCCCCGGCTGCGTGGGCGTAGTTGCCGATGCACCTGAGCCAGTGGGACTAGCACCCTGTGCCTGGGCTCCGGCCGCGGTGCTTGGAACGGTAGCGGCTGGGACAGCAGTGGATGCGGAAGCTAGGGGTGTAGCCGGCCTGGGAGGTCTGGGCCAGACAGGAGGGGCAGGTGGACGACGAGCCGTACCGAGCAGATGGCGCATCAACCCTCGAGTGCCTAACACCGTGAGTATCCGCTCCTTGTACGTAATCCAGTTCGATCCATCGGCGGCGAGCTTCGGGACTGAGTACAGGTTCGCAGTGTTGGCGGAGGACAGGTTGAGCGACATCGTAACAGGGCTCATAACCTATAAGGTTTCGAGCCGCCCGGCGAGCTGTAATATAAACGAATGTAATTGCTCAGCGTTCGGGGTACGAACGGTGTAAGTAGAATATCGTAGCAGACCTGTAATATAAACGAATGTAATTGCTACGTAATGTAAGTGAATAGGACGTGCGGTATAGTACGGAGAATGGGCTCACCTCAGCGTTCGGGGTACGAACGGTGAGGTGGATGGACGGGAGGTCTCGCGTATATGAGCAATGTCGTAAGGTACTATCGGACGTGTGTTGCAACAATCAAAAGGTACAGGAACCACAAATAAGTACAAAAAGGGAAATACCGACGTCAGGAGGGCGCGTGCGCTTTGACCGGTGCCGGGAAATACAACATTACTTACGTTCGAACTACGATACACTTTGCAGCTGTGCTTTGGTCTGCGGGGCATGGCGTCCCCGAGCTCAGCTCGTACTCTTTCGCCGGGTCGCACTGACTGAGGATGCGGCATCGTTGCACAATTTTGCTGCTTTGCTACGTCAAGCACCACACCTGGCTGACTACGTCCGCGATCTAGGTTTGTTCGGGCACACGCACCATACGCCGCAGAGCCTGGTCGCACTCTTTCCGTCGGTCCTCCACGGAAGACCGCCCAACCTGCGGAGCACACACGCTGCACGCCAGCAAGCCCCCCACGGTTATTCGGACACACAATTCCCCGACGACTTTGGTCCAACGACGAGCGGTTTCCCGTGTTTGCCTCTGCACCAACATTTTCCATCCTTGCTGGCGACCTTCGTCAACGCCACGGGACTGCACTTGACAAACGTATCGTTTCCTTCCTTCGGAGACCTTGGTCGCCTCCTCTGTCGCTTCGTGAACCTACGAGTGCTGCGTTGCCATGATGTTCGCTGGAGCGTCGTCGGTAGGACTCCGATGTGCATGCTCAGGCTTTCCTCCTCTGGTCATTCTCAGTTCCTGCCTAAGCTAGAGGACCTGAAGGTTCGAGGAGACAGCATAGTCAGGATAATATGCCAATTGACGGACCCACTCTTGTGCGTTTCTTGTAGGTAGCGAAGATGGGTCCACACGGGCTGGATCGGTTACTAGCGGCCATAGGTCCTTCCCTGACTCATTTAGGAGTCGACCTACCTTGCAATGAAACCTCAGATGTCGCAGGAGACAGTAGTGAGTACTTGAAGTTTTGGAGGATGAGGGAGTCCTTAGTGTGGCTGAATAACTGCGTTACGATAGCACATATGATCCCTCTAGGCCGGTTCCCGAACCTCTCTTGCCTGGATATCTATCTGTGGAAGATTATGGACGGTCGTTCAACCGGAATACAGCCTTTCCAAGCTATGTTGGCTTCATGGGCCTCTGCGATACCTCGCCGAAAGCTCAGGTTCGCTCCAATGGACCAGTCTCAGTTCACTCGAGAGGAGTATTCGGCACTCCTCACCACGATCGGCTACTTGGCCGAACAGTCCGTATATACTGGCAAGTCGGACGCCAATCCCCTGATGGCCAGGGCTCGGATTCCAGACGTGACGTTCACCATCGTGCTTCGAGATGATATCGAGCGATACGGTTGTTGGAGAAGGGAGACCGCGTATGCACAGGCTGAACCGAGTCCGTGTTGACTGTGATCAAGGTAAGCGTCATTGTCGAGTTGGTAACACATTGGACGTGTATCTCGTGGGACGTTCAAGGATAGCTTCGCAAGTTGTCTGATCAACACTAATTCCGCAGCTGTTCTCCTGAGCGATTTATGGAAGGCCTGGGAAGACGACAACCGTGAGGACGGGGAGATGGGAGTCAGACCACCTTCAAGTTCCTCCATTATATGACATCACCAGACCGATAATTTGCAACGTGAGCGGTGGTTCGTAGCACGAAGACGTCTACTCCAAATAACTTCTTGGAAATGATCACCCGCAGCAATCAAGTCGAACTCTTGCCATGATACTGCCATGATACGCTAAACTGCCAAATGGTTGTTGGAGTCAGCAGTTGACACAGAGACATGAACGGCGCGATTAATACGTATGAGGTGCCAGCCAGGGCTATAACGAAGATTTCCCAAATATGCCAAGTTCAAGACATGACCCAACTTGCCCATGTGCTGTATATACATTGAATATCGACCCTCAAGGCCTCATTCGAGCGATCGAGCGTCTAATTAGGGGAAGACATCGGCTTCGGCCGAGGAACTGTACAGCACCAAACGAGCGCCTGCCCTCAGAGAAACCTTGTGCTAGGGTAGTCTACCGATTCAGTAGCCCCAGCAACTTCAGCAAGTCCTCAAGCAAAATGTCGAAACGCGGTAAGCATGAAACGATCTGGACTGCTCACTGACAAGATACTGATCACGACCACTCGCTTGATACAGGTTCGTATCCATCGTTTGGCGGTTTCGCATAATCTGAGTCCTGACCTTGCCGTTTGCTCTCCAATCTTCTACGACGATACGCACGATCAACAGGCGCAGGTGCCTCTGGCAACAAGTTCCGGATGACCTTGGGTCTCCCCACCGGTGCCGTGCTCAACTGCGCGGACAACAGCGGCGCCAAGTCGCTCTTCGTTATCGAAGCGTTCGGCACCGGCTCACACCTCAACCGGCTCCCCGACGCTGGTGTCGGTGACATGGTCGTCGCGTCCGTGAAGAAGGGAAAGCCTGAGCTCAGGAAGAAGAGTGAGTGTTTCCCAAATGCAGGTTGCGAGTTAGGGATGGATTGGAGGGTGCTGAGCGGAAGTGTGATCGGGACGTTGGTGGACCATAGCTCGCATCTGCAGCTTGAGATGCGACTGAACGTGCATGCTGACGTTATCCTTCAGCTATGCCCGCTGTCGTCGTTCGCCAAAGGAAGGCATGGCGCCGGCGAGACGGTGTTTTCCTCTACTTCGAGGTACGTTCTTCAGTAGAACAAGTTTAGAACGACTGACTTGAAGTCATTCTCTCTTAGGATAACGCTGGTGTTATCGTCAACCCCAAGGGTGAGATGAAGGGCTCTGCTATCACTGGCCCCGTCGCAAAAGAATGCGTGAGTGGATATCTCGACCTGGCGTGAAAAGCAATTTTGACGATCCTTCCTCTAGGCGGACCTCTGGCCGCGTATCGCTTCTAACGCAGGTACTGTCGTATGAGACCGTTCTACTATCGCTGCATGTTTGTACTGTTTATGGTTATGACGCAACCATGCTCTTTCTGCATCTGAACGAATGTGTAAATTTGTTCGCATAAGTCTATGAACTTAGGAAAGATAACTACATCTATACAAGACCGACTCGCCTGCTCATTCATGGTGAAGTCTAGGAGTCTGAACAGGCTGCTGAGGCCACGGACGAGGCAACTAAGGAGGAAGTCAAGGACAAGTTTCCTGACATGGGGCCATACCTGACCCTCGGCGCTCGACAGGTCGAGCGCCGAGAGCCATGGCATGCTGCTGACTGGCCTTCAGCTTTGGCCATTGTTCGAATCATCGAGGACATTGGGAAATCCAGTACCCCAAAGCCTTCAAGGGCCCGAGGCCCGGGCTCAACGTCAACGCGAAGCAGGGCAAGAAAGTATATATTCGTTCTCTCATGTGATGTGAAGACGCTAACTTTCGCCACACAAGCTACGACCACGATTTCCTGCCTCAGTGCATGGCTGTCTGTAAGGAGTAGCCTGACTCCCTCCCCCTCCTCACGCGATCGGGCTCGAGTCGGTCATCCAGAGCTTCGCTCTAATACGCGGTGGCTCGCACGGCCTCTACCATCACGCCTCCATCCTCCCGCCATGCTTCCGTCGGGCTCTGTATATCTATCTGGGTTCAACCAGCTTTCCGTCAATCTCTTCGCCATGGGCCAATTGTCTACCCTTCTGCAGAAGCTGTCGAGCGAGGAGCGCTTCGCCCCATCCAACCGCTCAGCGTCAATGTTCAGCGGTCCGGTCGGAATGCGTTCAGGACGTCCCTCTCTGATAGTTGGCTCGTCGACACAAGACGGTTCCTGGCACTCGAGCAGCGGTCTTATCCGGAGTCAACGCGGCGGCAAGCCTGGCAAGGAGTGATCCTGTCCGGCCAGGGCAACGCCTTCGGGTTGTCGTCTTCGGTCGCTGGTCAGCAGGTCCTCGAGCCTGTTGCGCCTGCTGGACGCCCACAGTGCTTCCCCCCATACGCCTCCTCGTCCATGGGCAATACGCTGACAATTGTCGGATACGGTACGCAGCAACGTCCTTAGGTGAGAACTACTAGTCTACTTTATCACTCGCTCAGACTCGAACAAGGCGGCCGTAGCTCACAACTCGCAATACTGAAGCTGGGAGACGAGGACTTGAGGTCAGCCCGGAACGCCGTAGCTTACAATATCAGTGACGTTCTGTGACCAGCTTAGAACCAGATCGCTTTGTGCAAGCTAGTGGCCAAGCGTTCAAGCCCCCCCCCCCGCCTTGATAGTACCTCTGCTCCGAACACCTCCGGATTATCGGCGCAAGCACCCCAAAGCGATGCACAACACACGGCTACCCAATCAGGTAGGCGGCCTAACTATTCGCAGCCGCGGCCTCCCCCCTGTATATAAGAAGAGAGAGAAGAGGTCAACAGTTCTTCATAGCCCCATGTCGATCCCGCGTTTCCCCAACCGTCAAGGTGTGCACGTTTTTTGCCTCTCTCAGCAGTCAGAAACCAGACTCACAACGGTCCAGCGACCCAGATGAGGCCCCACCAGTGGCGTAGCGCCCCTGTTGTAGGCATCCGATCCCTCCCGCCCGAGCTGATGTTGCACATATTCCAAGACGTCCTAGGGCCTACGACGTTCGGCAACATAGATCTGGAATACGAGGACAGGGGTAGTCTCACGCAGTGGTTGCCCCTGAGACGCGTTTGCAGGCAGTGGCGCGAGCTCACAGACAAACATTGCCCAGCTCTCTGGCAGACGATCGACATCACTCGCAAACGAGAGTGGGTGGAACTCTGTCTTTCCAACTCCAAGGGGATGGGCCTGCACCTTCAGTTCCACGCTGAATATTTTGAATACGGGCAGGGGGACTACATTTTGATACGCGGCTTTGGTGGCCAACCCAGGTTCACTCCCGGACATGAGGTATCTGTCGTACTTCCGCTCAACCACGCACAACGCATCCAGAGCGTCTGGGTATTCGGAGAGAAGGCCGTCGCGCAGCTCAGTAAACTACGCGATCTATTCAAACTGCCTCTGCCCCGTTTAGAAGAGCTGCGCGTCACTATGGGAGCTCAGAGCATCCAAAACAAACACGTTCTCACCGAATTTCTCAATATCGACTCGAGGCGCCTCCCTGCCCTCCGCACGCTCGTCCTTGATGGCATATATCTCCCATGGAGCTCCAGCATTCTGCGTAATCTACGCGCTCTCAAGCTCGTCTATGCGTCGACCAACAACCACCGGTACCGCATGACGCTCCACCAGTTCCTTAATGCGCTAGGCGCGTGCCAGGCCCTCCAGTACCTTTCTCTCTACATGTCCACTCCCATGGACGGCTGGCGCTGGGACACCACCTCAAGCCCCGGGGATACTATCGCTTAACCGAACTTGCGTTTCGTAGACATCACATTTCTAGGATCCGACGGAGATGATGACCACGAGGAGCTTATGAACGATATGTTCCCTATTCTCGCACACGTCCGGTTTCCTGAGCACTGCTACATTAAACTGGGAAGCGAGTCCGAACAACCGTACCGGTACATCCAGCTCGTCCCAAACGACGCACAGTGTTTCCCCATCCTCAGGAGCGCAACTGAGGCAGTCTGGGAGGGGCGTGCTCGCTTCAGGTGCCGGACTGGCCCGCCGTACGGAGGCTCAACTCGGGGAGAGCTCGTCGTCGACGTCGACAGCACCTATTTGTGGGAGTACCCTCTCCTAACCTACCGCAACGGACGTCAGGGTGTCCACCCAGACGCGTACAGGTTGTCCACGAACCCTGAGGGCGCGCTCGCGGCCTTCTGCTCCTATCTCAGCCGTGCGCGCTTGACCAAGCTCACGATGCAGTACAGCGAACTCATCAGTGTAGACGCATATCTGTCTGCGTTCCGCGTGTTCCCTCATCTTGAAGAGCTGGTGCTCGACTATCGCCAGCAGCAGCGGGCATTCTCTCAGGAAGAGATTCGCAGGGTCCTCCACGCCCTGACCGAGCAGATAGGACTCTCACCAGACGCGCCGGCGACGCGAACCGTGGAAGTCCCTCTCCCAAATCTGCGCATTCTGCGCTTCAGGGATGTGTTCTGGTACAACGAGCTGCCCAACCATGTTCAGCAGTGTCAGTGGGCTCGTCAAAGTCGTGGTGCAGCTCCGCTGCAGGTTGACTTTGGCCGTCCTCGCATGTAGGAATTGTTAACGTCTAGAAGTGACTAAAGGGGCGGCACAGGCACGAATGGTAGATGCATATAGGCTAGAGTAATACACGATGTTTCGCCATGCTAGATGCACTTTGGGCGCGATCGAGTAGAGCTATCCAGAGCAAGTAATCACTGCAATCACCACGTTCCACGAGGCTATCAGGACCGCATACGAACGTTGCGAAGATGTCATGGCCTCCCATGTAGAATGGCGCCTCGCAGTGGTCCCATCTGCAAGGTGATGTTAGCTCCGATCGATAATTCCAATCCGGCACGTAAAAGTGCACTGTAGTCCTGGTTCGCGCATTCATCACTTTAGGTACATGACATCGGCGGCGGGAACAGTGATAAAGCACCTTTGGGTCCAATATCCGACGTCGTGCGTTGGAAGGGTCGGAGAGCACGTTGCAAATCTTCAGTCTGTCGCCCTTGTCCCTTTCCGATTCTGTATACAGCAGGATGTCGTCCCCAGATGTGTTGCTGAAAGCGGCAGCCAATGGTGATGGGAGTGAATGTGGGCTCATGTATAAATCTCTGCGTACAAATTGATTAGATTGAGTTGAGGCGATGTTGAAGTGATCGACAGAAATGGCGCGGATAAGCTGCCAAATTGGAGTAATACCGATCCCGCCTGCCAGGAGGTCAATCATCACAACGTTATGAGCATCGTGATGGCAGTACACGAAGGTGAGCGAACCTTGCCGAAACAAATTTTTTGGCCGCGAATGTCGAATGCTCTTGCCACCGTCTACGCTCAGCTCTACACGCTCGATGCGCCCTCCGCCGCCGTTGTATGCTAGTCCTCTGATGGTGTACTTGCCATTCCGGACCTTGTTCATCAACTCAAGACGTTCTTCGTGATTGGTTCGCAAAAGGCGGACTGCAAAGTCTGGGAGAAGGACGTTCTGGTCTGGAACAACAACCGAGCATCCTGCCAATCGCTCACTTATTCACAACATGTACTTCCGTCCCGGAAGAATGCCTGTGCCACAGGGTCGCTCGTTGAAGTGATGAAGGAAGGGACAACCTTGTTATCATAAAGGTCTGGGGAGTTTGAAGTCACGAGAACATATCGAAAGACGAGATACATACGATAGTAACCGTCATTTGGATTCGCGGTAATCCAGATCCATATCCATGTCTATGATTATTGCGTTTAAGATGGACTTCACGCAGCACCGATCCATTCGGACCTTCTTGAGCCATTTGACTTGGCGACCACCCACATATCCCTGAGGAGTGTCATAGTGAAGTCGATGAGTTTCGAAAGGCTCTTATAGGAATGATGGTACGTAGCGGCTACATTATCTCGCTCAGACTTCTCGCTCTGACAAGAATGTCTGCAAGTCCAAGCGACCACGTACATATCAGTGATTAAGATGAAGTACCCGCCCGTTCATGCCGAACACGAGTAAGACATCGCTGATTGCATCCAAAGGCGTGCTCAAGTCAATACGTGTCACTGCCCTAGTGTTTCTCAAGCTGTTGTTTACATTAGTGATGGTTCAATCTTTCACTCAACTGACGTGCAGAGATATTCTATTTATCTGCCATGGCTCCTCCTGTATCTAATGATGGTGAATTGCGCCAGTCCCTGATGGAGGCGAGGACAAAAACACTGGTCTCCTAACAGACTCTCTGTCGGGGAGTCGAACCCCGCTTTCGCGCGGTCAGCTCGAAGTGACAGGCGCGTGTACTAACCGATATACTAACAGAGATTCACACAAATTACATGACGACTAGGTTATATACTTTCCCATTCCCTCCGACAATCTGTTGATTACTTCGCGTCTACAAATTTACATACAACCTGCGAATTCTCGTTACCCCGCAGAATGTGTTGGCTTTGACTTCACGATTTTGACCCCTGCGAGACCAGACTTTTTGTTCAGATTGATCTTAGGGTTTGTCGACGCAGACGGTGAAGGCAGGGGCGCCTTTTCTGACAACCTCTTCAGAGACTGAGCAGGAGGAGTGATGGGTAAAGAAGGCAAAGGGAGGGCGGGCATCCGGGTTTTGAACTTGGCGCCGCTTTGGCGAACCCCCATCGCCGAGGATGTTGCAGATGTTTGTCGTGGACCGCCGCTCTCCAGGGCGGCTGTGGCAGCGATGGGCTTCGGCGGAAGCGAGGGGTGTGCGGGCAAGGACGACGACGCCGAGGCTGACGTGCCTCCGGTGCCCCTCGGCGCAGCGGAGGCGCCTTCTAGCTGCCGCAATTTCGCTTCCATGCGCGCGATCTTAGCATCCATCCTGTCGGGAGCGTCAATAAGACAGACAGACAGCGAGACGCTGTGCATACGAATGTGCACACGCATCGTACATCGGGCAAGGTGAGGGCGCATCTGAAGTGAGGTCGGACTTACGCATCGGATCGCCCTCTGCCAGCACTCTTCAGCAGACTGAGCGTGGTCGGCTTCCCGACCTCGCTGATCGCTCTCCGATTCTTCGCCCCAGCGCCTAGCGCGCCCGAGGCCGCATCGAGGGGTGCCTGGTTCGCATATGTGACGACGAGCTTGCGGCCGCGGAGAAGTTTGTCGTTCGCATGCGTGAGCGCCTTCTCGGCGTCCTGTTTGTGAAACAGAAAACAGCGGTTCGTTGAGCGTGCGTTCACAGTCAGCGGCTCAGCGAGACCGGAAGAGAGACCATCGCGACCCCCGGGTCGGACTGCACATGGTCGTGGGGTGGTGGTGTGCGCCAGACCATGCCGTCGTGTGTGCGTGCAGGAAGAAACCCGGGGTGAGCGCGCGGACTGGAAGATAGAGAGGAAAAGGACGTACGTCTTTGTTGGAGTACTGCACGAACGCATAGCCTCTCGGTTTGCCCTTGAGCGGACCAGACTTGTGGAAGAGGTAGTCGAGCTTGGAGATCTTGCCAAACTTTGAAAAGGCTTGAAGGAGCGTGTATCTAGCAGGAGGGTAGGTGATAAGAGGCAGTCACGGACAAACGGAAACCAATACAGCGCTCAAGCGAACACACTCACTCGTCAACACTTGGATGCAGATTCCCGACATACAGGCGATCCTTCAGCAGAGGCCGCGCCTCTGTAGCAGACGACGACGATGACGCTACTGGCACAACCGGTTCGGCCGCCGCAGGGTAGGATAGATGATCCTCCAGAACGGTGGAAGCGGAAGCTGTGTTCGGTGGTGTTCTCTCCGGGGAGACCACAGACGGTGAGCGACCTTGAGGTGTGGTAGACATGGGACACACAGGGCGGTGGAGGACGATAGACGATGACAGAGTCGGCGATGCGGGGAGAAGGTTCAGTTGCGCGTCCAACCCCGCTTCCGATGCGCACTGAGGCGCCTACTCAACGCTCCAGGAGGGCGCCCATCAATTTAATTCCTTTTGTCGGAGCGGACGTCTCTCATCCGGATGCGTCATGCGCCTCCAGCCCACGTAGCCGACCACTGCGAGCACCCACGGTCTTGTTGATACATCTCGTGTGGGCGTCGTTCGCGTCTGTCGACGGAAGTCGGCGAAAAGGAGAACCGCAGTTGTACAATTCGTTACGACTCGATGATAGGACATCAATCTGGGACTGGCAAGCTTGGGAGTGCTTGGCTGTTCGGCCTCGAGCTGCGTCTTTCAACAAAATCAAAAAGTTTCTGAGAATGCCTGTTATGGCGGTCCGGCTAGTCTAGCACATGGCGCTGTACATGCAGATCGGCTGTGTTCTAGCCTCTTCCGTTTGCAAGACCTTGGGCTTACACTGCGTTAAGCTATGGTTTTTGGGGTACACCGTCGTGAATGCCGCGGACCGACGTAAGTGATCCGCCAAGCTGGATCTACCTGTAATCCTCGGTAGCGACGATAGATTAATGTATCGGAGTACCTGTTAATGTTCTTGCGGCCCCTACATGCCTCTAGATTAGGTAAGACCTCCGTCCCTCGTCTCAATCTGATGTCACGAAAGGAGCTCACAAGGCCAAGTGTAGGTCCTCGAGGCAGCTAGCTCAGAGCAATGAACCAAGATCGAAGCCGGCCGGAAGGATCATGACGAGAGCATCCTCTGATATACCCTCCATCTCGCTGCAGAGAGCATGCCTTGAGGCAAGTATTCTCACTGGCGTGTATCACTTCGCCTTCCTGAGACAGAAGACGCAGTAGCTGCGTGCGTCGAACCTTAAGCCAGGCCCGGGCTGCCATGCTAGCCATTCATGGCATTCCGCAATTGCACCATTGTCGGAAACTGACTCGGATGTGCCACCCAGATGCGATCTTATGAATGAGAGACGAGAGGCTTCTCAACCACCACATGTACGATGCCCCCTCCCGGCCGTCGGCGGGTGCGAAGGAATCTCCAGGATAGGCAAGACGATACAATGCGAACGCGGCTGATACCATCGCAAGCTCGTGCGGTTGATTCTCCGCTCACCAGTCGGTGCATGTACGTTGCTCGCATTCCTTCGAAATAGACGTAGAAGTCGTAAACAGCAACGCGTTTTTGTCCGCTCGACATCGGATCCTGGCAAGGGCAATGGGCAACGAAGGCACGTCTGCGGTCCTGTGACATGGCTCAACTCAATACTTTGGTTTTCGCTCGATATTCGGACACACGAAGCGATTCGAATTCTCATTGCACCTACAAAGCCTGCCGTATGCCTTGACGTGTCTTGACATATCGGGCGGCATCGGTCTCCGCTCGTCGTCGGCTGCGGTAGTACTCTTTCCGATGGTGTCGACAAGTACTCCTCTGAGCTCCAAGCGAGGCGCAAGGCACACGCAGCGGTACACGCCGCACGTAACTTGGAGCGCTAACTTGTGCCACCCTAGGACCATGGGACGCACGAGTAGAGACTACAACGAGGTTTGCAAACCTCTGGGATATCGGGCCAGGGAGGTATCAAACCTCCCAACCCACGCGGTCTTAGTGATACGCGTCGGTTAGAGTTTCGGTTAGGGTTCGGTTAGGGTTCGGGTTTGGGTTCGGTTCGGGTTTGGGCTTGGGTTTGGGTTAGGCTTTGCTCACAACTCCTCCTCCCCCAAGAGGGGAGGCCGTCTGTATTTATCGCGCGAACGAGGCTTTAGAGTGCCCGCCTGAGTGCTCCCGGCTCGGGGGACCCCCCGAGCGCAGCGAGGGAGGGGAGGGAGCACGAATGGCGGGTCCTCCTCGCGCAAACCCTAAAATCTCGCATCAAGCGCCACAATACCAATTGGGCACTTTGATCATCAAAAATTGCGCGCTGATGCGCCACGGTAGCGCCAGCGTCGGTGGTCTTCCATGTCGCGCGTCCCCCACCCTCCTCTCCCGCCACGCCTGCACAACACTCTGCATCTGTTGGACAAATGCTGCCTCGTCAATTACTGAGACCTCCTGAGAGGGAGTATGTTTTTTATTCAAGTTCCTTGACGTTGCCTCGAGTACGTACACCGTTCTAGCTATCAAGATCTGATGCGCCCGTATTGATGTCCCAGGCTGACAGCCAATCATATGCGTGACTGGGAGGTCTCATACCTCCCTGGCCCGATATCCCAGAGGTTTACATACCTCGTTGTAGGCTACTCCGCACGATGCATCGTGCAAACGTTATGTAGCAGTCGACAATGCGCGGAGCGCCGAACATAAGGACCTGGTACTAGGACCGCGACCAAGTGTAGCGTACTGTGAATCCCGAATACGCCGCTAGGGATCATCGGACCCATTCCGGAAGACGAGGCGTACCGTGTGCCCGCGAGAAGCCCCAGAGACCTTGACCTTGTGCGCATTGCAGCGGCCATCTGCGGAGAATATTCCCCACTCGACCACGTCCCAGAGACGCTCGGTGTGCCGAGAGCACCGTAGGCGGGAAGCGCTTACTCCGGCTCGTCTCAGAGCGGTGGGCGCGGGTGAGAGAACGGCGACAGCTTGTAGGGCGACATTGACGAAACGGGTGGTGCGCAACTCACATGCTGGCCGCTCATACTCACTGTGTGGTTTATGCTTCTCGGGCGATGCCATGGCACCATGTAATTCGCGGCGAGCTGTGCGATCGAACAAGAACACAAGGAAGTCGAAGTTGCTCAGTGGGCGCTGTCCGAGATGGGCGGGGGAAAGGATGGCCAGAAGCACGAAGTCGGAGCCAATAGTTCACAAGCGCAGATACAAGTACACAGATGCGACAAAAGCTTTGTACGGAAGCGAAATGTGGGATGATCGGAGCGAGGGTATCAGTGCGATTGAGATGGGCGGGCGCTAGGGTGAGAACGGAAAACAAAACGAAGAGCGAAAACGGGAAGAGAGACACAAAGATGTAGCAGTGACTACAAGACAGGCGAGACTAGAGCACAACAGGTAAGTGCACTTAGACGGACGATGAGACTCACAGTGTGAGACACGAAGAGATGAACACGAGAACGCAGGAGAGAGAGACAGCCACAGCTCAAGGCGGGAGACACCGAGCGCGTAGCCGCCAGTTCGAGAGCGAACCCCACAAGCAAAGCCTCCAGCTCAAGACTTCGTGCGCCGCCTCCTCGGTGACAGCGGCTCCTTCGCCGCTTTCGCGACCCGCGCCCCAGCCTTCGTCTTCGCCGTCTTGGCCTTCGCCAGCCCGAGCTCGTGCTGCCGCTTCTTGCAGTCCTCCGAGCCCTGGTGGCGGATGACGGCGTCGTTGCGCGAGATGATCTTGTCGCATAGCGGGCAGTAGTCCAGCTTGCGCTCGAACGGGTACAGCTTGCACGACGACTGCTCGTGCCGCAGCACGTCGCTCTCGCGCGTAAACTCGCGGTCGCACCAGATGCACGTCGGTCTGGGTCCCGCCGCCTTGCCGGCCTTCGCTCTGCCCCTGCCTTTCTTCCTCCTGCAGCCGCCGTAGGAAGAGGACTTCTTGCGTGCCGAGCTCTTCTCGGCAGCGATCAACGGGCTAACGGCCTTGCGGCGGACTGAGCTAGTGACGGAGGAGCCCGGAGACTCAGCGCGAGTGGAGCTCGTCACGCTCCTGGTGCGTTTGGTAGGGCGATAGTTCCCGTCGTACTCGTCATCTAGCTCGTCTAGCTCGGAAGCCCCGGCCTCGTACTCGCTCCCGCTGTCGTCGGACTCGAGGATCTCGCGCTCGTTATCGTCACAGCATACCGCACTCGTGACCTTCGTAGTCAGTCGTGCGATATTCGTGCGCTTCGACCCAGATTCCCCCGAAGTGCTGGCACTCGAGACAGATGATGCAGTGCTAGGTACACTAGAGCTGCGATACCGCAATGAGCGTGAGGGGAGAGGGGCTAGAGCGCGCTTCACAGCAGGGGGGACAGGTACGATCGCCTGGGGAACTGTCTTGCCAGCACGGCGAGGATAGGGAGCAATAGCCTTCGCAGGGGAGCTAGCACGAGGAGCACGGCGGGCACGAGTCTTCTCCGAAACAACCTCCATAGTGGACTCGGACTGCTCCGTTTTGATGCGCTTGCGCTTGCTGGTGGTTTCGCCAGTCAACTCGGTGTCCGAAACGTTAGGAGATGATGCCGGAGAAGCGGAATGCACTGGGCTCGCGGCGCTTGCTTCATCATAGCACTCGACCTGAGCAGTCTCGTCGAGGTCAGCCTCGGGGATGGTCGGAAGCGCAGGGCTACTCCACGAAGATTGAGGCGAGGACAAGACGGAAGGCGCGATAGTAAGCGGAGTCGACATAGCACTGCAGTCAGACGCGCTGTCAGACGAGATAGAGGGGCTCGAGAAGTCGAAGTCAAAGCTAGTCGGGGAGTAGCAGGGGCTCAAGGAAGTCTGCGAGGCATGGCCAAGACTCATATGCGACATGCCAGTCGACACGGCAGAAGATAGGAAGGGCTGTGAGACGATGTATGAGCTCTTCTCCATCGTCTTGAAGGAGCATATACCAACTCACCGAGTCAACAAGCATGGGGGACCCTGAAGAGAGAGAGTCAAACAGGTTAGTCCTGCTGATGGGGTAAAGGCCTTCAAGGGTGTCATCAAGCCCCAAGGGCTGGAGAGCTAGGCGCTGCGCCTCGACGTAGGCTGCCTCTTCCGACATCTTGTCGACCGGAGTCGCAGACTCGTAGCCATGAATGAAGTCGTCGAATGGGATGTGATCGTTGTCAGACCCCCCAAGGCCTTCGCCGTAATCGGCACTAGGCTCGACGATGCGCACTAGATCGAGTCTACCTAAAGACACGCTGAGCTCCTTAAGCACCTGGTGAAGGGAGGCGAGTGCGGGCTGCAACTCGTTCGCCCATACGGCGAGGGTAGCATCTTCCCTCTGCGTGTACAATCAGAGGCCCGAGATGGTAGATGAGGGAGCGGCATCCACTCACAATGAAGGCAGCCTTATGGTGCTTAACGAGGTTGACAATCTCCGCCAAATTCTCGACGATGAAGAGCCCACTCTTCGTGTGCAAGACGGGAGAGCCCTGCTGTAATGTTCTGAGGGCGCGCAAGCAATCAGTGGCTGTTACTTTCGCATCAAGCGAGAGGAACCTACACCTCGGTGATGATAGACGGGACCAAGGACGTCTGGAGCTTGATGACCACGTTGGGAACGAACGCTGCCACAGTTGACGTAAACAGACTGCGAGGACCCGAACGGTGGATCTCAACGAAGCTGTGGGAATCGGTACGAAGATAGACGGTGTGGTCCCCATCACAGAGACGAGACAAATCTCTGAACACGCCTTGGAGAGCTTGGGCGGACGCGTTCATGGCAAGGGCGGGCGAGGAGCAGTGGAAATGAAGAGGGACCGAAGAACAGAATGCGTTTAAATCATCTTCGGTCTGTGGGTCCATCCCGCCCATGAGACGCCCATGGGAAGCCTTGAGGTGACCACGCTTTCGATACTTTCGTCAGATACTTCCAGGTCCGGTCACGAATGTATCGGACCGGGAGATGGACACGAAAGATGAGATCGGCAGATCGAGCAGCGACAGGGACAAAAAGGGCTTGCGTGGCAGATACAATAGCGCCTGGGGCCCAAAGCAACAAGGCAAACCTGTATGAGGAATTGTCGGATGTTCAACTGGTTGACTCGAGATTTGCTAAGCTGCAGCGTGCTCACCTGTCCATACCACTATGGCAAGAGGCACTCTGCAGTGATGCACGCGTATAATCACTGCACACAGCGTGTCGGCGAAGACAGACTGTTCAATGCTATGTTCTTCGGTCAAACTTGGACATATTTGCACTTGGGCTGCAGTGCTCGAATGCGGCACGGATAGGACTGCATCCGCGACACATGATAGCGTCGTATGACATTACGAAGGCCGCAAATCAGAACGAGAGAAGAGAGGCGTGCGTGAGGACGAGCGGAAGCGAGTCCAGAACCACCCTCGTTCGAGCCTGCGGGGCGGAGGCGCAAAGACCGAGAACAAGGAGCAGTTGCAAGCGAGAGCAAGCGCTGGGGCAGCTTATGGGATCGTGGGAGATGCGCGGGAGAGATCCAGATCAAGGGTCTGTTCCGAGCTCTTTCCCACGATCCAGTCGGCGCCTGGCATCATCTGCTCACTCCGATCACTCCAGATGGTTATCTGTCCGCCGACCCGCCCCACCGCGACCAGAGCACACCCAACCGCCTCATGCCTCAACGTGCCTACCACGTTCTGCATTTCATGGGGGACAGACCGGAGAGATGGCTTGAGCATCATTCCTGGGTTGCATTTTGGAGCGGAGCCTTGGGATGCGCAATTTTACTTGCCAGCACATCTTCATCGTCGCGTCGCTCTCATACATGCGTCCATGCGAATAGAAGAACGTGTTTCCCAATCCTCCGGCTCTCGGACATTTCGAGGTCATGGAATTCCCGTCGCCTTTGCTACGCGACCTTTGTCTTCGCTGGCTGCTACACTAAACTAGGTGAGTAACAGAGTCGGCCCCCCAAGAGATACCGAATGATGCTCCTCGCTTGTGCCTTACAGCCTCAAATACAATAATGGCCGTCATTGCAAGGGTAGACGGGACGGATTGGCTCATCCGGTCGCCCAGAGCCTTCCCACGGGGGACCCACAAACGCATACACAGTCAGAATTACTAGTTATGGAAGGTTTGGACTCCAGGCCGACGGGCGAGCCGGGGTACCGGCCGGCTTTCCATACAGGCCCGATTCCTCACAGGCGTCCAGCGTGATACTCACCGCGCTCATTGGCTACTCCTACTGCAGGCCTGCGACTAAAACCGCTCCGTCCTGCTGGATACAGCCTCCAGTCATGGCAGTGAACCATGACTTGACAAGCTTCTGAGCAGTCAGGGAGATCCGCTGTTCATCATCCTCGGGGCGATGCAGACAGCTCTCCGTTCCTCCTGAACACAGAACGCGGCCTCTTCTTTCCCGGCGGACCTGCCCAAATACGCCATTCCATCATGGCTATCATTGGCGCTTCGCATCCGCCCCGTTCATGACTTTCATCAGGCCTGACGCTCCAAGCTGTGCGCCTCTGCTAGAATTCCCCCGCCTACTCTGCCATTGGGCTGTCTCGCAACGCCAGGTACGTCAAGGGCGTTTGACTGTGCTAGCCGATGCCCCGTTTCAGCTTGTGCCACCCATCACGCCAGCTCGGCTCCATGTCCGTGTCTCGTCCGCGGTATTAAGAACTGACCAGACCAGCTTGTAGGTGCTCGTTGGTCTTGTCGATATCAAGACCTCTTTTTATGGACCGTTGCTAGGCACAAACGGATTTACCAATAACGGAATATACTCCTGTCTCATTTCATCCCATCTTATGCTTAAGCGATGCTCTCGTTTGGGCGCAGACGACAGGTGCGCATAGTTCGAACCCTTAAGCGGCCTTGATGTTGCTTATCACACTGGAAATCAATCTATGACAGATATCATAGATCGTCTTACTCATCGTGAAGTTCAAGAAGACTTTCAACCGCCGAACGGTCGGCGTTCGAAAAAATTGCGCAGGGCGAACCATGTCTTTCACTGAACCATGCTTCACCTGCTTGTTTTACGGATCCTCTCCACCTCTGCCGTCCGCTAAAGTAAATCCCAGGGCTGTCCATTCTCAGACGCCTCCAATAATAACGCTCGCATTCCTGCCATCGAGACACTGTATCGCCTTGCGATGTGTCTACTGGTTCTTCTTGTGTTCGCTCAGTCGTCCGCGGCTCTGGGCTAGGGACTTCAGGGTCAGACCTGCGCAGAGACCTTTCAGGAAACCCTTACGCTGATCCTCCGCGGACGGGTGCACGTTGCTCTCAACCATCTCGCGCGCACCGCCGCATGAGCGCCTATCCCGAAATGCCCACCTCCGCGCCTGGCGCCCATTGCGAGACCCCACCTAGACATTGGTGGTGGGAGCAGTCGAGGATGCGCTAGCTGCGCCTGTAATGCAGTCAAGAGATGACCGATGCGCTTTGCAGATGGAGGCGGAGATGGTGGGACCGATTTAGAATTTGACGCGTCGCCGTGCTCGAGCGCGGTGTCGAGATGTACGTGACGGCTGTGGTGAGCCTTGGGCTCGATACTTCCGCGCCCCCCGACTTCGCAGCCTAATCAACTCGGCAGCTTGGTGTTAAGATGACGACCGTAGCGCGCCCGCGGGGGCATGGAGCCATGGCGTCGAGTGCTACCTGCAAGGGTCGTCGTGGATCATCTGGAATGGAGTGTTCGATTTCGAACGTGAGATGGCGCAAGTTGCTCCTGGACCTGGTGGAGCATGATATGTAGGCGCATAGCGACTGGGGACTGGAGGCTTGAAACAACGACTGGAAGGGATGCTGCCCGACGACCGAACCGTGCTCTGCCGCTGGCGTGCACAAACATCATTTATTTCGCGGCCAGTTCCGCGCACTGGCCGCCAGACGAGAAATTCCCAGCACTCACATGATTATACGAACTTGCCAGTTGCTCTACAGTGGTGTCGAGGGGCTGCAACGACCCCGTACCAAAGTGTGGGAGCTTAATCAATCCTGCATGTATTGCAAGCGACCTACGGTCCGGTGCCCGGGAGATACCAAAACTTGCGAGCCAGTGCAATGAGGTGCAGAAGCCATCCACCTCACAATTACAGTGGTTGTGGTGGATCTGGCATCGTACCAGCATGTCGTTTCCTGACATACCATATGGTGTGTGCGACCTAGGTGAGATCCTTAGCTTCGACCTCCGCGCGCAACCACCGCCGACAGGATCGTCCCAAATATCCCGATCCACCTGTGATACATGGTCATGTCGTCTCCGCGCCGACACATCGTGAGCACCCCTCGCCTTGACTATTGTTCCGGTGAGCATCGGGGCCCCTCAGCTGCCTGAGGCATAGTGATATATCGGATAGCCGACATGAAGTACAAGGCCCTCCTGCCGTTGGGGGATAGTGTAGCCTCGTGAAAGCGTTGATGTCGCTTTTGGACAGCGCGTGCCCATATTGCGGCAGGAGATCTGTCGGCGATGAATTGTGGTCGTACCCCATGTTGAGTATGAAGACGGAGAACGCATCGCCGGGGCCGGCATCACTGCTTCTGGCTAGGCTGATGGAACTCATCCGGGTGGCGTCCTCGCTACCAGCGGAGTATGATTCCGCTCGTACCTTTGTTCGAACGCGACGTTCTGAGTGGAAGCGGCCAGCCGCGTCGACGGCAACGAGTAGCTGAATGTGCGCGTTGTAATGGAGAGAGCAAGTCTGGTATGTAATGGGACGCGACCACGGCCTCACCATTTGCGCTCGGATGTAGTACCTTCGGTCAGTCTCAGGTGTGTGGAAGGCGACTACGCCCGACAGTAGTTCTACCATCTCTGCCTTCCACACGGCTACTCCAAGACAATCATCAGCTCATGTCGGCGGCGCGAGGAACTGCGAAAATGGGGATATGCACGCTCATGGTGGATGAAATTTAGGAGAAGCCAAATTGGTGCCGATGATGCACGTCATCTAGCGGATGTCCGTGCCGGATCTGAGAGACCAATGGTGAGAAAGGGTGCCCTAACACACGGAAGACTTCTCGCTGTCCGGGGATGGGACATTGCTCCGCAGACTGTTGCGAGACGGATCATTCATCTTGGGCGATACTCACCAGAACAATGGATATCGCGGCGGCCTTGCCGGACAAGGCAAGAGCAGGAAGATTGAACCTTGATATGTCCTTCGACAAGCTCGCATGCCGTTACTTACAAATGACCACAATACAGGTACCCCGCCCAGGCTTGAGAGCATGGAGTCCGCACGTTCTCCGATAGCCTCCATAGCCTTTCGAAGCACTTGGAGTACGCTAACGCGTGTCATGGCATGTGGTATTCGGATACTGCACGGACGCCACGTTCAATGTGCAAGAGCTCAACAGTCAGAATCCACTTGAGGTAAATGGTGTACGCCGTGTCGCGGTGGGTTCTCCAGCAGTCAAGCATGGCAATTCAACGCACCGAGTTACGTGATAGGCTTCGAACATCCAGCGTTGTAGCAGTGCATAGCGTGGCAGGCCGCGTGCCGGTACCACGCCTTATGTAAACTTTACGATCCTAAGCATATAGAACAGGTTGTAGACATCGAAATGGAGGCAAGCGAGCACAGGTTGTGGTTTTCGTGGCTGTCCAGAGTTGAGCGGAAATTTCAGGAAAGTAGATACGAATTGCTGGTAGCGTTATGGCAGAGTCAAGCGATGCCGCCCTCGAGGATACCAGCCTCGGCGCTCCGTTGAGGTCCGTGCTTAGCGCCGCTTAGCACCTGTACCATAAACCTTGTCAACTCACCGTCCATGGTCTCCGGCCTGATTACACATATTTTCATTCAAGAACACGGCATTTCAATGTGGAAAAAGCTGGTTTTTCGTGAATGTCGCGACCCAGACATCCATCGTGTGGACTTTCTCGTCTTTCGCCTTCAACAATTCTGACGCCGCCCGCACCGAATCTCTGGCAGCGATTACGACAGCCTTCTCCCTCTCATCCTTGACGTGCTCGCCGATCTCCTTCTCGAAGTCCTTGGAGAGCACCCAACCGACCTCCCACCTTCCATCAAGCATCCCCTCCGGTGGAACAATGAGCGTCTCCTGCTGCAATTTCAAGCCCGCAACAATCGCCGCATCCTTCAACCGCTCGGGCGAGAACACCGTCCGGCAGTTGCTGCTGGATTCGTTCTTGTGGACCTCGAGCGCAGCCTGCGCGAAGGTCGCGAGGACGTGTGCGGCCGCGCGCGGGTCGGACGCTGTGAGCGAGTATTCGGATATGCATACGCGGTCGACCCGTGCGAGTAGCACAGCGAGGATGTCGGACCAGACCCGTGGCGAGGAAAAGTACCAGCTACACTGGGCGAGGACGGCAGTTGTGTAGCGCTCCGAGGTACTCTGCAGGAAGGTGACGGGCTCAGACTGGACGAAGGTGATGCGGTTCCCGACGGGCGAGGCTTTGAGATGGGCCTGGGCTTGTCCGAGGGTGTATGGTGAGCCTGTTTGTTGATTGTCATCATGCATGAGCCGTTAGCCATAGAAATACGGAGGTGGCATTCCGGAGATGTCTCTCACCATAGTCGAGGCTTGCGGGGTCGATCGCGGTCACAGATCCTTCATCTCCCACCGCGGTCGCGAGCACGACGGTGCAATCGCCCTGTCCGCATCCGATCTCCAGCACCTTCTCCCCCGGCTTGATGCCCCATATCTTGACCAGAGATGCACGCTGTTCGATCTGGGGACGAACAATATGGAACTGATTGGGGCCGTGGGGGTAAATCCTTGCGATGCCGTCGAGGTCATCGAGGGTAGGAGGTGTGGATGCGGCAGAGTCGGACGACATGTTGCTGTTGGGTGATAGTCAAACCGCCACTGCTTTGATATAGTCTCCAGATGACTCCGTCGGCGTCATTTGCGCGGCCGAGCCCCAGCCCTCCATCAGGAAAAATATACTTGCCTCGAAAGAGCTATAGATGCTCCAGAGACCGATTAGACAGTCGAGGCAAGTACCCTGTTATGGAGACCAGCATAGCTCCCACTAGCGCCTCAAGAGGTCGCACGAGATCTACCTAGAAGCTCTCGAGTACTCTCGAGCACTCCCAAGCGGGCATCAGGACATTGATAGACATGGTATCGTAGCATGCACGCCCCTCACGAATCATCCATTTGAACACAGAAACCAATATCATTCAAACACTATAATACCCGCAGTAGAAAAGCCACGCTACTAATCGTTGTAGTACACTAGTTCCCTCGAGTCCGAGTCCAAAGCGACCTTGCTCCACCTCATCTTCGCTGTCAGTCCACCCTGTGCACGCTTCAAGCTTGGCATTTGCAACCTTCGTCGCTGCGTTTGTGACTTGCACAGTATGAGTGTCCAGTACAACGCCGCTGCCACCACAACTACACCAACACGAGTCTATGGGGCAACTAACACAGGCAAAACGATGGCTTACCATCTACTCATTGCAGACCAATATGAACTCACCAAGAATAGACCAGGATTTAATGGTACCGCAGTCTAATAAACCGAGGGGACATACGAGCAGGGCTTGATAGATGAAAAACTCAGAATAAACTCTGATGGTTCACTCACAGCGAGCTCAGGTACTCAAAGCCCATGAATCAAACCGGACGACAGAGTGGGGTCATGGAGGAGGGGGGAAGATGTCAAAGTAGTGGAGGCAATACCAGCAGCAACGGGCATGTTGATGTTGCCACGTGGAGTTTAGGGCCGGTCGTTGAAAACTTTGCGCATTTATTGTACTGCTCTACTCGCACAAGAGGAGATCCTGTGACTAGATTCTGCATGGCAGCGACTACACACTGGTTCTACAGGTAAAGAGAGCAGCGGGCGATCGTCATCACTTGACGGCGTCCTCGGAACCTCGGCTGGGCTTCCGAGCGCTCGCAAGCTGATAGGCACGACTCGAGAGGGCTCGCGATGCTCAGGAGCTCTGGTGGGGTCTCGCAATGTTCGGGAACTCCGGTGGGGGGCTCGCGAGAAATAGTTTTTTTCCTGATGTCATGCATAAGAAGGTCATTAGAACTCACAGGTATCATGTGTCCGAGCCCACAGCATGCAACGGTAAGACAGAGCCTCTAGAGCGCTAAAGCTGACTGTTCTCCTACTAGTGTGCTTTGAATGGCGTCCCTAGTGTCCGTATATAGTCCACACCCCTCCCTCATGGTTTATAAATGTTCATTACCCTCTAAGATATCTATATACCAATTTTCTCCTGCGGCGCGTGAGAGCTACGATGTGGAAAACCCGGACCAGCTCACCTACAGATCATAAAGCGCCTGGGGCATCCAAAACGGCACTGGGCGTCTGGTGCTCGGTTGCACTCGGACGGTCTCCATCTGCTCGCAGGCGTCTCGGGAGACTATCCAGCGCGCGAGATCACATAGGTATGCCTCCCTAGAAAACAGTTTTTCCTGATGTCCCGCACGGAGAACATTTTCCCCGACTCTGTTCACCGCTGGAAGCACTTGAACGTAGCGGGCATCTGTGTTGGGAACGTCCCAGGTCAGAGGTCGAGTATTCTGTAGCTCGAAAAGCCGCAGAGCTAGGTGGTGCACATCTTGGTGAAGTCACAATGAGCGTGTCCGCGAGCTGGGAGGTGGCCGGAGGCCAGGCTGGCGGGGCTCGGGCCGCTCGGCAGGGGACTACCGCTGATCCGAGCATACACCCCGGTACCGGGAATGCGACGCTACTAGCCTATGTAATGATTATGCCGCATCGGATACCGTATATCCATGGTTCTTGGCAGGCGCGAGACTCATGTCTCACCCTCAGCGACTCAGCCCTACCGGAACTCATGACTGACTCGACAACCGGTGGAAACACGATCTTCAGATCAATGCCAGTGGAAGCTATAGTTCAAGAAATACTCATTCATGATACATTCCTACGTCTCTTGACTCTACACCTCATTTCTTCAGGTACTTGATCAGCTCCTGCACTTCCGCAGAGTCCGAATTCTCGAAGAGCTTGTCAAACTCGGCGCGCGTGCCAAATGCATGGTCTTCCCATGCGAAGCCCGGGAAAACGACCTCCGTAATGAGACAGCCATAGCGCTCCTTCCCATCCTCCTGCGAGGTTGCCGCTATGAGGTCTGCCGAGAGGAGGCGTGACATCTTCCAAACGCCAGATGGGACGAGGAGCTGGAGGACCTCGCCCGAGTGGATGTTCGGGCCTATGACCTGGGGTGCTTTATAGTTTGCGGAGACCGTGACGAGGAGATTGAGGAGCAACCCTACCTTTCGCTCGATCTTTGGTGGAGTGCCTGGGGTGATGAGGGTGTATTCTGCGCGACCTTGATGGAGCACGTGCATCGTCTAATGGGACTTCGTCACTTAGGGGTGAAGGTGTGGCTAGGGGACGGCGTACCGCTGACTTGTTCATGTGGAACACGCCATTTGCCTCGTCGGGCGTGAGGAGGTAGTAGATGGTAGTAGCCAGAGTGCGCAGTGCGCCGTCTGTCAATAATTGCATGTTAACACCCCGACTGAGACACATTGATGTGCGTAGTAGTATGGTACCTGCAAAAGGTGAAGGAATTTCTTTCGTTTGACGGTCAGTCTCAGCGAAGAATCCTACATGCGTGAAGGTTCGGTCAACATCATTTCATCTACGCTGCCCGCTGAACACACGAACCTCCTTCCGGGTGCCGTATCAACCTGAGCTGATCTATTAGCTCCGAGTTCGGGATTGCGTAAATCAGGTATTCATCAGAGCCCGTCATGTCCGTAACAGTCATACAATAGCGTAGATGAAGATGTTACTCGGCGGCAGAGTCAGAAACAAGACGGGCAAAAGAGGGTGACCCGGGGCCCCTAGTATGCATGGCAGCGGACATTATGTCCGAATCGTGCTCTGTGGCCCACCGAGTCGGGATAATGTATCCACCGACTCGCCGATAGCACTAGGGCTAGCGCCTGATAGAGGCAATGTATATCAACGATCGAGATGCACCGCCTGGTTCGGACCCCCTTCTCGTCCGACATTTGTGAATGCCTGTGCTGACGGGAGGTGTTGCCTACTATGCCGCTCACCTTTGATGCGATCAGGCTTACGCCGAATGAAAGGCAAACAGAGTGTCGTTTACGCACTAACGGCACAACGCCATTGCACGGAGCCAAGGGATATTGTACGCCTTCTGGAGGAGTGTCTTCGACCATATAGACTCTGCTAATGATATCAGACGTGGTCCCAATCATAGACAGCAGCATATGGGTATATCCAAGGTCAACGCGACATTGCGATACACAAACTACGGCTTCGCTGTCAAGAAGGAGACAGCAGTGCGCACGAGGTCACGGTCCCCATCGAACGCCAGCTTTTCTATGGCCTCTTCTATGTCAAAGAGCCGAACTTCATCAAAGCCTTCAGCGATTTGGTGAGTTCCGGGCTGCACTCCGCCCATCTCGCTTGAAGCGGAGGCTTCATCATACGGGACGTCGACGGCGCCGATATACCAGAAGATGAGCTTAAGCTTGAGCATGCCGAAAGCGATAGGACGGAGAGTGATCATGAACGGCTCCGTGCTGTTCAGTGCGATGCGAGTGGAGTGCGGCTGCGGGTCTGTCCCTACAAGCTCAGCCGGGAGTGGCGCACACGTGGGGAGATTTGGCACAGGGTGGAGACGACATGGGTATCCGGTTTCCTCGAAAACTTCGCGCGTTGCTGCAGTAGCGAGATCTTCGCCTTCGTCCTTGCGCCCTTTGGAGAGAAGCCACGCACCGAGTGGTGCGTGGTGAGCGAGCAGAACGCGCTTCGGGGTGCCAAAAGCATCGAATTGGAAGGGCACTGCGCCTGCCGCAAGGACGAATTCGCGTGAGGTATATTGGCCCTCGACTCGTTTGCCTGCCAGTTTGAGAACGCTTAGCACATATACGTGTATCTGAGGGGAATCTTCAAATACCGACTCTTGAATGTCGCCTTGAGCGCGAGGTATATGGTTGGCAACGTTGCAATGGCTACTGCGGCTGCCCCGAGTGCTGCGTATGCACGCCTGTCTCCTGGAACGCGGTCAGTGAGTAGGTCCAGAAGGACCAGCCCTGAGATTACATACCAAGCAAGCTACTCATGTATATGATTCACCTAGCGATCGCGCGCGAAACCTTGAGGGATCGAGGTACACAAGCCGGCGTCGATCACGGCGTCGATATGCTGGTACGAGGAGACTACTGAAGGTGTCTAGACAAAGTCTCAACAAACAAACTACGACGGAAGATTGTAGTTCCAGGAGGGGCGACCAGTTACAGTGCTTTGCAAAAAAGATTGCAGTGCGAAGCGCGCAAAATCCTGTTTGCCCCTGTTTGCCCACCCGGGGAAACGCCTGCAATGCCGGAAGCCTCTTTGCAGCATGGTCGATTTTACAGCCACAAACCTGTTGGAATACGGTACTTACTTACATCGGACGCTGTAGTACCCACGACCTCCATGCCGAGCTACGGGCGTCAGGCAACGACCTGGTACCACTACGTTGCCGTTCGGCATGGGTTGGGCGCTTTCGGACTTGTTTGTTTGTGTTTACTATCCCGGTCACTCCGAGAATTTCCTTCATACCGGCTTTTCCTCAGCTGTTGACACTTCGTGCACCAGACTGAGTACAGGTCCTCGCTAGCCGCTGCCGACCCCATTCCAACAAAACCTACCAGATATATTCAGAAGGTCGTCATTCGGAGGCAAAGAATATCCTCGTGCATTTTTGCAGTAGGAAAGCGGACACGGACTCAAGCACGGCTTTTACGGACGGAGTCCTTATGAGCGTCCGGTTCCCGAAACAGAAATCCTTGCCGTAGCCGACGAGTGACCAAACAGGAGCAAACAGGATTTGCGCGCTCCGCACTGCAATCTTTTTTGCAAAGCACTGTACCTCAGTCAGGTGATGACGACACGTTGGACGCGTAGCAAACTCCGCAACTCCGACTGCCAACAACTCGAACCATGATGATGCAGTCCGCAGACACCGGACAGCGATGTCCTTCTTGTCTACCGCAACTGGCAGTGTCTTACTTTCGTATGCTCTGATTTTGAAGATACCTCACGTGAATGATAGTACATCCCCAAGTTGTATTGAACTCATAGCAAATTGACGGCCAATCTTTCCTGAATAGGCCAATCCTCTACCGCTGTGCATCTGCTCCTGATTAAGTTCTTCTGGTGCTGCTACCTCAGTGCCGCATCCTCTTCAGACCTCCCTGGCTTCATAATGGTGAATGGGGTCTGTTTTGCGGTTGCAAGAGGAAGAAAACCGGGAGTTTACATCAATTGGTGAGTCGCTCTTATCCTTTCGTCCTTGCCCTCTCGGTCCTCAGTATCCGATTTGTTCTCACTGGTTGTACTAGGAGCGAATGCGAAGCTCAAATTTTGAATTTCAAAGGGGCCAAGTATAAGAAGTTCCTCTATGCCGCGGACGCCGAACTCTGGATACACCAGAATGCCACTGGGCCCTGTCTTCTCCTGAAGCCGGAACAGGCTGCTATCTCACCTGCGGTACAAGGTCCCGTTCCAGCCTTGCCTGCCACGCCAGGGCCCGTAGAGCCATGTGCTTCCGCTCCTCCGCAAGCGTCGGATCCGGATCTGGCATATTCTGCAACCAAGTCTGAAGAAGTTCACTCGAAGGTTCGGAACTGGCAGCGTGCGATCGCCAGAGACAAGCTACCCGGCGTACTGCAGCACTCAGTGGACTCGGTCACCGAAGAGAACTCTACTATTCCAATGTCCCCAGACGTTATGATTGTCTATACCGATGGGTCCTGCAAAGGCAATGGCACGGAGCACGCTGTTGCTGGTGTAGGTGTCTGGTGGGGGGACTATGATTCAAGGCACGTAGGCCCTCGTCAACCAGACAACGGATTGCCCTAATCTGAACTGCACGCTCAGAAACATCTGCGAGCGATGCCCTGGAGATCAAACCAATAACCGCGCGGAGCTTATTGTGAGTTGTCGTACCTCTATAAGCTAGTTCTGCGCAGCGTATATGTATCAACGATGCTTCATGCACGGATGACCCTTACAGGCGATCATCCGCGTGCTCGAGACGACACCTACTAATCGACCGCTCCTGATCAAGACCGATTCGGAATATAGCATCAAGTGTGCGTACGCTTCCACACTTACGAAAATAACATTCATCGTCTAATGCCGCGGTATAGGCATGACCAGGTGGTTATGGAGCTGGAAGGCAAAGGGCTGGAAGAAGATCGACGGAAAGCCAATCAAGAACCTCCCCTTGGTCAAGTACTTGGACGTTCTTCTCGATGAGCGTCGGACAGTCTCGAAACAAGATGTGAGTCGTGATTGAGCGCCAACCTACGACGTGCATCGTGACGAATCAACATCGGGCTGATGCTTCCAGGTAAAATTTGAATGGATCAAGGCGCATGCTGGTCTTTCTGGGAATGAAGACGCGGACGCTCTGGCGGTTGCAGGCGCCGATTTACCAGCTGTTCCAGAACGTGACTGGGAAGCCCTCGCTCATGCTGTTCGGGCTCGGATTGTGGCCGCATCTTCCTCTTCGTCCGTGGCAGCGGCACCAGTGGCAGCAGTAGCAGAGAGGGCTTCGCAGGTCACGGACTGTCCGCCCAAGGTTATGACTCGTAGCGCGACGACGCAGCCTGTCGCACCTTCGGCCCAATCTCAGGCTGCTAGGAAACCGGTGCCGACGCCGTCGCGCATGCCTAGCCAGGTATCTGCGAGTCAGCCAGCTCCGCCTCGGACTGTTCCGTCTCGATCCAGTACGCCTAGTACGACCTCGCCTCATCCATCGGCGTCGCAGGCGACATCGACCTCAGGAACAAATATCTCTGATAGGAAGCCGCGGACTCCACTTTCATGGAGCGAAGGGGACGTCCATGGTTCTGCTGACATCAAGGTATCCCAAAAGGAGTTAGAGGTATGTCGCTCAAGCAGGTCCGCACCCATCTCTTGGCGTCGAAGATTCATCGGGATTGGCAGGCCTATGTAGCTTGTCTCTTGAACGACGACGATCTCTTGGAGGAAGCGCGAGCGGCAGGCATATGCTGAATGTATGGGCCTACACGTCGGCCTTGTAGAGCGGATCTAGTGAGTTCTAATTGTACCCATGTACAAGTAGAGCTTTCGCGTACTATGTTGTTCCATATGCATGCTCTCGTTTATTGTCACCCCACCTGACCGACGCTGATTCCCTTGACCAGCCTTGTCTATCCGTCGTACTGGCGCTGAATTCCGATCTTTCACGGTGTGGGTGTGACACGACCGTTTTATCTTGGATGATGTACACGGAACCGCGCTTCTTTGTAAGAACCGAGCACTTCAGCAGTGCCTCCAGCAGGACTTCCATACAGAAGAGTGCGCTAATTCACTCTCTGTCAATAACGGGCGGCAATCCCTATATGTGCGCAACGGATCCCGACGGCAACTTGACCCAGGACCATCATGACCACCCCTCTTACAGCTCCTTCACAGTTTTCAGTCCAGGCCTGCAGGGCCGATTTCGAAGTCGTAGTACATGATGAGTACCCCCTAGTACTGCAGCATGTCCTCGTCCATGCTGTTCATCCCGACCACGGTCGCGTTGGCTCCCTTCGAGCTCTGCGGATGGACAGGGAGCGATGCCGGGGAGAATTCCCTTCGATCATGGACGACGACTCGCTGGAACTATGGGACATGGCGCTCACCTTGTTCGACGAGATCGGTCACCTCAAACCCGAAGTCATCAAACATGAGCGCCTGAAAGGGTCCGGGGTTTGGGGCCGCGAATTCAACCATGGCTTATTGCTCTGCTTGTCGGAGATTGACATACCTGAGGTGCGACTCGCCTACAAATTTATGCACTCCGCATGCCTTGTTCTTACTTCGGGATTGCAGAAGTACAGCCGCAAAGGCGTCGGATCGTTCCTTCTACGGCAACTCTCTATTTCCAAGCACGCTCCTTCCGGGTCTTTTCTGGTGGCATTGCCTCTCCCAACAGTCGTGTCGCGCAACTTGTCGATATCAATCTTGGTTGAAGAGTGGAAACAAGTGAAATCGGTGATATCTAGGTTTCTCACCAAGGTGATGGTTTGGACGAAGCTATATGTGACTATATGCGTCCACTAAACTACGAAACGCTCGTCTTCAGAACGATTTCCGCAGCATAGGTGATACAGGATTCCTCGCATACGCAACAGACCCGAACCATCCCTCTAGGCTTCTCGCGGCTCCGAATGACTCGGCTAAAGTGACAAAAGCTAGCGAAGCGCTGGCTGCCCGCCCTTGCATCGTGAAGACTATCCTGCCGAACGGCCGCATGGGTTTTGCGATCGAACATCCCGACGGTACCAGCAGCAGACTGTTTGATCCCAGTGCCCTTGACGCAACGGCAATAGATGAGCTTTCCAGTCTCCCCCTGCCTATCGTTCTCACCGCTGGGGGCATGGACCTCGATATCCCAATCATCGGCAAGATAATCCGTGACGCATATAATAAGGATCCGTCGTCGATCCGGGCCGCTCAGTACACAGGAGAACCTTCAGCTCTCCGCGCCGCCCTATACGCTTGCAATCTAGCTGCTGTTGAGGCACTCATCGAACTGCCCTTGGTAAGCGGCGTCCGAGAGGAGTTGAAGTCTCGCGATTAGACGGGGCAAACTCCGCTGGAGGCGTTCGACCAGGAGATGGCGGAGCGCGAAGACGATTTTGGCTTCTTTGGTACCTGGTCAGGAGACGCTCCAGAGGCGCAGAGCATCCTCTATCTTCTCAAACAAGCCGCCGAAGAGAATGCAGGGACCTGGGAGAATCAATCCGTAGCAGCGCGTCGATGGGGATGTACCTGTGGGCAGTGTACGGATGGCTGGCTCTCTCCACGGATGCGTTACCGCTTGAAGTGTATGTCGCATCTAGAACATCCTGTTACCACACTGACTGACTCGTTAGGGGCCGCGGAGGTCACTGCCGACTTCATCATGCTCCAGTGCAGTGACCTCCAACCGGATGAAAGGATGCACTCCGGTCTGGGCCTCGACGACCTTCCTGAATCGCTCAAGGCCGATGGCGTCAGCAAATCATTCTACGTCGCATACGCCAATGCCATTGACGCGGTGGCGCGAGTCCTGAAGAGGCCCAGCCGGGCTGGCCTGCCTACGATCCCTAGCCTCATGGCGGAGTTCGGTCGGAAGACGATCGCCTTCACGTCTGGCGGCGGAACTGCGCTCCACGCGGTGCGCTGCGTTTTAGAGACTGCTAGGGCGGAGTCGCCTCTGGGAGACAACACATGGGATGACATGCAGCAGCAAGACCTTGAGTATGGGGGCGATGAGATGGCCATCGAGTTAGCAAGTCTCCCCAAGTGCGCTCACGACCTCGACTTTGCGCGGGTGGCGGAACGAGCTGGCTTGCCGAATCCTGGGCCATACGGAAGGAGGGGACTTGACTAAGCGAAAACGGGGGAGTCCAACGCTCGAATGTACGTTGTCCATCCACGCAAGGTGACCGCGCATTTTGCTAACGGGTTTGAAGCCCTCGCAAGCGTGTGCCCGGAGGATATTAGTACCGGCGCGGGCTAGTCTGTAAAACTAGTGTTAGGCTGTGTAGTCGCTGCCGCGAAGAATTCTTATCTTGTTGTCGAAAGCAGATGGGGAGGAGCCAGAGGCACCAACGGCGTAATCGCTCCTTCTGCGAAAGGGAGAGGGATCCGAATTCCTCCGGGGTAACGGATATACTGGGTTACCCCTTGTAATTGCCACAAATGAATGTATTCAGGCCCTCTCCTGAGTCGAGTATACCAGTACTAGATACAACAGGACGTCTGTGAAACGTTTTGAGGGTGTTCTTGGAGCCGATATGTAATCTCGAGCGGCCCCCCGGACAGATGACACGAGCCACTCAAAGAAATGAAGCCGAAGTGAAAAGAGCAGTCCTGCCCGTCAAAGAGTTTGCTGACACCCCAACGGTGAGCCTACATCGTCATTGGAAGTGACTCGTGGATAGGTATCGAGTGTTCGTAGTAACATAAATTTATCGTTTAGAAGGGCTCTTTCTTCAAGGCGTTCTACTTGACACAAGGGATAGCTTCCTGGATGCGAACACATACCGCGTACAACGAATAGCAGCGGACCGCGGCACAGTCACCTGCAAGACGTACACCAGACGTCCCATTCCCTATCCAGTCAGGATGTTGGTGCAGGGAGGTCCGCCTACTGACTATGCCGGTCAGTGACCTAGCTCGCTAGTAACCGACACTGATAGGAACAACCCTCACCTTGACATCCTAGATGGTCATCGCGGCACTTAATTGTTACGCGTCATGTCGCGCTATAACCCCACCCGGACCGTATCTAGCAATAGCACATCGATACAGGTCGGCAACGGTCACTGCGCCTTCGTCGCAGACGTCACGACAATGTAAACCTTCCCGATCGCCATTATGTCCGAATGGGCCTGGAAGAATGACGACTCCTTGACCGAGGGAACCACCGACCCCGACTTTGATGCGTATCAAAGCAAGACCTGCAATGGGGAGACTTACTTATTCGGGGGACCCGAGCTGTCGAAGCAGTGGCTCGGAGCGAGCCCGGACCGTGTAAACCTCGGAAGGGTCGAGCTGGCATTACGAAGCGAGGAGGGCGCTGTCATTGGTATAACGGAGGCCGAACTGGAGGGCACGAGACAGAGGCTGGACCTACGGACAGGGACGATGACGAGCAGCCTCCAATGGCAAGGCGCGGATGTGGTCGTACAGACGATCTCAGCGCAGAGCAGCGACGCGGTCGGTTTCACTGCCACATCCTCGCTGCTCGAGAGGGGCCATCTCGGTATCATGTTGGGCTTCTCGTGGGATGACGGATGTTCAGACTTTCAGATGTATTTGGTGGACATCTGGAACGCGACGAGCATCTACACAACCTTGATGAATACTGAAGCTAGATTGGGGAGGAATATCAAGCGACCATCCCACATACGATAGTGAACAACAGGTTCTACACCCTCGTTGGTGGACTCGAAGGGACGACTCTGACATCGTGTCTGGTTCGCCAGAGGAGAACCGCTGCATCCTCTCGCCGACACGGTCGAGCTCATCCTTCTCGCTTGCAGTCGTTTATGTGCCCGCATTGCTAAGGACGATCCCGACTGACGTTCAGACGGAATCCAGGCGCGTGTGGGAGGACTACTGGTCCGCAGAAGGGTTCGTCGACCCTGTAACAGGATCGAGCGACTCTCGCGCAGACGCGCTCCAGAGGCGGATCATCCTGTTGCAGTACCTGATGCGCGTCAACGAGGCGGGCGACTCGCCGCCGCAGGAGCTACGCGCGTGCGATGCTTCTTCCTTCCAAAGGGGCTCCAAGTGCTGATCACCATCCTTCTCCCACAGTACGGACTTGTGAACAATGGCTGGGTCAATGCACCGCTCTCGACCAGGATCACGCGCATGTACTCACCTTTGAGCGATATCGCGGCAAGGTCCACATGGAGACGTTCTTCTGCTGAGACCTCCTCGCGCGCATGTCGGGTACCTACGCCCGCTTCCTTCGAACGTCCTTCGCACACGCGCGCGGGTCCAGAAAGGCTATTCGACCGGAGCGCGCAGGTGGAAGATGACGGACCCGGTCGGGCGATCGTCCTCCGGGGAAACCAACGAGCTGCTGATCTAGCTGCGGCTGTGCCGTGCCCCTGACCTTCGTCGAGTAAGTACGAGCGTCGCGCGCGTACACACGGCTCCGGCACTGGCCTGCGCGCGACGCTCGAGGAGTAGCGGGACGTGATACATGTGGCGGCGCATTGTGTGGCGATGTTCGCGAAGCGAAACGGGAGCACGGAGAGTCTGTGATTAAGGACCGTCAATGTGCGTCTTGAGTGGGTCCATGTCATGGAGCCCGAACGTAACGCGTTTGAGCGTGCGCACTGGCGCTTTGGGTTAGAGCGCGCGAGTACGTGGATGGAGAGGCCGGGCGAGCTTGTACAGACTCGGAGTGCGTGGACGGACAAGGGGTTGTATGCGGCGTACGAAGGGATCCCGAATGGCTTCTGGGAAACGCCGACGTACACGAACGACCACCTTGTGCGCGTCGGGTTGTACGGATGGTTACCGCAGGCGACCAACACGAGCTTGGATACCGCGAAGGCGACCGTAGAGAAGGTCTGGATGGGCTGGAAGGCGATCGTTGGGGGCAAAGCGTTTGCAATTGCGGCGCGAAACCATTGCAGCAATCGCACTGACTAGCATCCTGCTGGACAGACGTAGAGTGGGACTTCTCCATGCTGGTTATGTCCGTCCGCAGCGCGCAACGGGGAAATGGAGAAGGCGTTTGAGTGGCTTCTCCATCTTCTGTTCGAATTCAGCGACGTTTGGATGTCGATGGGGGGTGTGCGCGTTACAACGCCATACTTTCAGGGTTCTGGGGCGCTGCTGTATGTTATTGCGATGAAGGCGAAAGGTTGGAGCGGCAGCAATCGCACAGCGCCAGGTTTCCCGAACAGGGGTTGGGAGATGAAGGTGGAGGGATGGAGGGAATCAGTCAAGCATTGTGAGAAGTGTTGCCATCATGCACACACCTCTTGAGGAAGACTCGCCGCGCCAGGACAGGTTATCTTCTATTAACTCAATGCATCCGCTCGCTCCTTGGGCCGAAAGGAGCACTGCACAAACATCGAATGTGTGTACAACGGAGGTGCTCGGTGTTGGTCCCGTTCATGTCGTAAAGCAACGCCGGGATACGGACTACGATTCTCACAAGGACGTGCGTTCCGATCAGCAGGATGATATGCAGGACGGAGAAGTTGCCTCACTCGCTGAACGCGGCCACCATCCTTTGCTGTGCTCAGCTTGATTACCGGACGTACAGCGGAGTGACATGAGCGGTCCAGCTGATGGAGCAGCTTCTCGATACTTTGTCACCAGCGTGACGATGTGGGGATGCCCGTGCATACGAACCCATCGTTCCTGTATTCGTGCGCACGGCCTTCACGGTAGCAAATCAGGCATAAGGTTCTAACACATTCGAGGCGCGGTGGTGATGGGAGTCTTGAGTTCGTAGATAGGACAGCACCGGGCTATGTATACGAATGCCCGTTGAAGGTGGGTCACGGACGCCCACGGAAGGACTACTGTATGTGGCAGCCTGCGGGGGCTCTCCGTGTCGGAAGTTTGTAGACGGAGAGCTTACAATTGCGAGTATAGCACGGACTGTAATTTGACTCGCGGATTCTAGACACTCTCAAATCTTAATCTCATGAAACAGCCACATACCATTTCATGTTTGGTCCGGGAGAAAGCTGTAGCCTGAGCCGCGTAAGAATGGCCCGACGCCAACGGAAGGCGCGGCCTTCGTTCAGAAAATGTTCGGCACGTCGGAAGTTTCAGGATCACGATGGAAGCGCATTCGCTGAGCGGCCACTCCTCCGAATCTTGTCATGTACAGGTGCGTTCAGCTTGAGCACGCATGGCACAGCCTAGAGCGGGTGCTGAGAGTGGTATGAGACGTCGTTGGACGCCTTCTGCCTCGAGGGTCCGGCCAAGGGGTGACACCGGCAGGTCTGGATGAGATACACGTGTTGAGACCAGTGTAGGCGATGAGATGGTCGACATGATATGTGAGATTAGGTTCGAGGGCAACGGGTCGAGAAGCGGAAGAGGAACGGAGACGGTCGTCGGACATGGTCAAATGACAACCGAGGCGCTGCTCCCGATGGTGGGCAAGGGCCTGTGTAATAGGCTGGGCTTGATTGCATATAGACGGCGTACTAGGGTGATTAATATCTGGATAAACGAGACAAGTAGAGGACTGTAATGGGATAAATGAAAAGGGATAAGGGCAGTGATGGGTGGTGCCTGGAGTGGAAGAGGCGCCGTTTTGGGAGTTGGCACCGCTGTTCTCTCCAGATCTGCCTTCGACTCCGACAACCACGACAACGACCTCTGCTGCTATCAACCATCATGGCCACTCACACTCAAGACTCCTCCGCCCCCCAGTCCCTCTCTCTCCTCACACCCATCCCCGTCTCCTCCTCGCGCCCAGCAGACGCCAGCCCTCTCGCCATGAACGGAACCACCACCTCGCCGGCCGAGCTGAGACACATCACCTCCGCCACCAACCTCGCAAGCCCATCGCGCGAGCGCAAGCTTTCGACTCGCAACTCGCAACATCTCCGCACTCATCGTCTGGGCTCCCGCTCGCCGGCGTCCATCCCCTCCTCTCCGACATCAGTGTGAGTTTGCACATTCTACTGCCTATCGCGTAAAACGGCGCATATCTCACATCCTTTCGACCGTAGTCACTCCTCCTCTTCAGCGATCTTCGAGCGTGATATCGAGCCCATCGCTTCGCCGCTGTCCCACACGTCTGACCCGCACCACATCCCTCGCGCGAAGTTCACCGAGGAAATTGAGCGCGCAGTTCCCTCCGTGCTCGACAGCGCTGCCGCGGTACTCACATCAACAAATCCGGACGACGACGATCTGGATGCAATTTCAATCGTCACCCCCGCCCCAATCGATCCTGGCTACCAGAGCGGATTCACAAGTCCAATATCGCGACTGAGCAGCCGGAGCCCTAGCCCGACGGGGAATAGGCGGAGCCTACTCTTCAGCAATTCGCTCCCGGGTTCTCCCCCAAAACCTCCGCAAGGGACGTCTCCAATTCGTCCCACCATCCAGACGAGCCCCTCGCCTCCGGGGCGCACATCGACGCTCCCAACAACAGTGACGCCGACGCCAACGTCCGCCTACTTCTCTGCAGCGTCAGATGCCGATTCCAATTCGAATGCTTCTTCCCCGACCACCGCAACGCACACCGAGCATCCTCTGCACAGTCTCCCGTCCCAGCCCCATCAGCCACAACAGCTGACGTCAATAACCGTACCCGCCCCATTCCCATCGCACCCTCCGTCACCCAAGAATGTCACAAAACGCTTGTCCTTCATCTCGTACGCAGACCTCCTCTCCTCGACTCCGGCCTCGGCGATTCCTCTATCCAGCCTCACATCCTCCGCGGTCGTGTCGGAGCCGCCGCCCCACATTCCGAGCGTCATTGGAGTTCCCCAGGCCCAGTATGCGGCCAGCTCGAGCGGTAGCATCCACGCGGCGCCGACGTTCGTGCTCGAACGTGATGCGGCCATGGGCGTGGTCGATGACGTCGGCGGTGAATGGGAGCGCGAAGGCCTCGGCAAGGGCCTGGAGGAGCGGTTGGAAGCGCTCAACGCCGTACCTTCCAGAGCATAGGAGAGGGTGCTTGCGCTCAGACCTTGCTACCTCTTCATGACCAACAGCAGCCCGCTGACTGAAGCGTGCGCAACGGTTGAGGCCTTGCGCTTGTCGATGATGACGTGTGACGACTGATGACGGCAAAGATATGCACCGAACCCTCCCCTGGTCTAATCCTTTTTTCCGGATATGGCTGGCTCTTCCTTTCCTTGAGATCACTTCCCGTTCCCCCCCCCATGCCCCCCAATGTCTTGCATGGCACTCTCCATGTGCTACGATTTGCTCGGTTGTACAATCCTCTCGTGCCGTTGTTGATCACATACTACTTTAACTCCCGCGTTTAGTTGCTTTGTTCTATGATTACGCTTATGGTTCTGTATACCCTACGGCCTGTTTCGTAAAGCTTCTTTTTGAACATTCCCCCTCCGAATCCTCGCCACCTGTTCGTCATGCATCATGCCCAGTACGGTCGACGTTCAGGCGGTGGCTCTCGTCGTCTTCTAGATTCCGTCACCGTTGAACCGGCCCTTATTATTTTCCTCCCTTCTTCCAACCCACCAAATTCGCTCCTACGAATGTGGAGCACCTGAACGAAGCTTGAACGAACGGCACTCGGTCTATGTCTTATATATCAAACCCCCAAATCACTTTTTGCTGTGTTCTATCGATATCTGTACATGTACCACTAATCTTCCCTGCTACCTTCTGTTCATGTAGGTCCTCTCCTGCTCCGAACTTGTGTTTGGCTTTTCTGCGCTCAAGTTCCCCAACTATGTTACCTTATCCGTATCAGACTACCACAACCCTCCTCTACTACCGTTTCCGCCGTTAGTCAATCTGATAGCGTCACTGCAGTGCCTTCGACGTCGCCCTCTAGCGAGTGTGCAGCCTTATGGGTTGTTGCCGCAGCGCGCAGTCTGCCATGTCAATATCTCCTGTTGCGAAGTTTACTCAAGCTATCGTTACCTGCCCCAATCCCGTGGATATTCCATCCTGGGCTGAAGTATGTCATGCCGGATATGTTCGGATACCGTGTGCATCGATTGCAAACAAGTGACATCGACGTTATCTACATACAAGTTTCTTTCATTCATGTTCGTCTTCTTCAATCGTGTGGACAGCCAATACCACGCGGGCTCATGGTCCACATAGTCCCTTCCGACAAAACGCCTCAAAGGCCTTCTCAGGGGGCACCAGCCAGGAGCCACTTGACGCCGTCGATCGTGTCCCGGAACACCTGCCTCGAGATGGCGAGGTGGGGCGTGAAGTAGTAGAAGGCGTGCGGGAGGTCTGGGTACCTGCGCGTGGGGTCAGCAAGGCGAGCACCAGGCTGAGCCTGCATGTGCAGGAAGGGACGCGGAAGGGGACGGGCTAGACGTACAACGTAGACTTGGTCTTGACACCGGCCTGCTTGAGAATCTTCTCGAGGACGACCGCGTCGTCCCGGAGGGGGTCGCGCTGGTTGTACTGGATGTATGCGGGCGCGACGCCGGCGTGCGAGGGGAAGTAGTAGGGCGAGAAGCGGGGGTCGTCGAGACGAGTGGGGTTGTATAGGCCTGGACGATGGCAAAGCACGATCATGGTCAGCTTGATGATAGCGGGGTCTGGAAGGGGAGGGAAGGAGACTCACCTATGAAGAAGAGCAGCTGTTCTTTGGGAAGAGTCGCGCTAGCAGCGTTCTCCTCTATGGCGACGAGGTCTTTCTTGAACCTGTCGGTGCAGAGTGGGCTCAGCATGGAGCGCAGGCATGGAGGCTAATGGTGTGATGGAGACGTGGGTGCTTACTCTTCTGGGTATGCACTCGGATGGAGGATCACAGGCTCACGGGGAACTTGGCCTGTGAGCGGATGGTCCTTGAAGAACGGGTCGTCCCGAACGATGTGTGCGAGGGTCGCCGTCAAGTTGCCCCCTGCGGAGTCGCCGCCGATGATGAAGCCCTTCGACGGGTCGACGTGGATAGAAGCCGCGTTCTCCACAGTCTGGCCTCGAGGGTTAGTCGATATCACGATCACTACTCGCGACTAGGGCAACTGGTACGTACCCACTTGAGGGCCGCCAGGGAGTCGGTGAGGGGTACAGGAAACGGATGCTCGGGAGCCAGTCTGCATACAACAGGGCCGGCGTCAGTCCTAGAGGAGCTTTCCAAAGATGCAGGATATCGACCGACCGGTAATCAACATTGACTGACACGACCTGGAGCTCGACCGACAAGATTCGAAGCTGATAGTCATCTACCCACGGATCTCCGGCAGCCCAACCTGTAGACGGACACACAGGATGAGGGCATAGTCTCAGAAGATACGTCGGTCGCTTTACCGCCACCATGGAACCAGACTACCACGGGGAACGTCTTTGCCTTGTCTTCAGAGGCCGGGATGACAACGCGCACGTTAAACTCGCCACCATCGACCAGCACTTTCTTGTCTTCGAACGTGTAGGTGGACTCTAAACGGAGTGTCAACCATGAGGGACATGATATACTTGCAGCTGAAAGCAAGTAGAAACGAGGTAAGACTCACCCGCAGGCAGATCCCCTGCGTAGACCTTCTGGATGTGCTGACTCGCGCCTGCGAGCTGCGCTCGCTGTGTTGCCAAATTAGGCTCCGCTGGCGACGGGTTGTTTCCCTGAGCGGCAGCTACTTGCGCCCGGAGCTCTACGAGAGCTGCTGCGAATTCTGGGTTGAGGGACATGCTGTACTGATCGCAATCGCTAAGAGTGACTTAGGGGACCTAAGGAAGTGCCTGCAAGGTGTATTGAATATGGGGCGGTCTCGCGGGTACATGGCCTGATCAGGGGTCAATCGACTAGAAGTGATCACTCAGCATCTTGCTTCATTTGTAACAATCATGACGAAGGGAGCGTCAGCTGGCAACACTATGAGTATCCGTGCTGATCGCAGTCAGTGACGTTAGGGCTCAGCCCACCTCGGGGCCCGGATAGCACATGGGCCAATTGGCCCGGTGCACAATCCACTGCTTGGCGGGGGAAAACACAGACATCGACATTGCTATAGTTCGTGTTTGCGATCGTCCAGATTTGGTGTAGTCGATACGCCTCGAATCCACCTCGGTCGTGTCCCGCTGCAACTTAAAAGTGCCGATGAGCGTCGATGCAACGCGGAGACCGGCGACGGTTGTGGTCGTTCGGATTCACTTACTCATACATGCGCCAACACCTTTGGTATCTTCTCAGATCCCGCCATTCTCTTTGTCATGTCTTGCCAACCTGGTCTGCAGAGCGGAATAGGCTAGACATGCCTGACCGTCAGTTTACCCAATTTGCCGATGAGCCACCAGTGTGAGATGTCGCACGGCTACCTTGATTGATCTCCATAAACCTGCTTTCGTATATGAGCACTGTGTCAGTACAGCGCACCATTTGGCGTCGATATGGAGATATGTAAGAACTTACATCTCACGTTGCGGGATCCGCTGACATACACCGACGCGGGCACTCCGAGAGTCGGCAATTGTGGTGGCGGTGCTGTGCGGCAGTGAAAGTCCCACGATACGACCTTCTTCCAACCCATCAACGGTGTCCCTATTAGGAGGGTGCCGCTAAGACTCACGAAGACGAGGAGATGAATGAGGTGTATTTGCACGGGTGATTTATCGAGGTGGCGTTGGTGACAACGGTGCGCTACTTATATAATGAAACTCGCCTCCCCCAGTTGAACGGAGGGGCCGGGACCACCAGTTGCCATGATTGTGATGACAGCCTGGCAGCGCCGTAACGTCTTCGGTGCTACACCTCCTCAAGCTAGTTCAGTGTCGTTTTCGTATAAGGCTATTCTCCCCTATAGAACTAGGCATTCAGTGCAGTCGATCCTTCCAACCCTCCTGTTCTTTGATATCCTCGTTGTAGGTCAGTAAGTGAACTATGCGCCGTGGATTGGCTCAGGCCACGATCGACGCCCCTCTGAGCCCAGCTCCGCATGCGGAATCCAGAAGGCGTCCGCTTCTGTAGAGTTCTACTCACCCTGCCCCCCTGACGACCCGGGCTACCTAGGCAGCCTCACTTCTGCTACTTAGCTGAGACCCGTTCACCGCGACGTCCTTATTGTCTCCCGAGGTCTGGATCACAATCTTCTGGTTCAGGTCCGTCTGCTACCAGCACATTCCTAAGACTCCCCGTTTGCCACCAAGCTGGGCCCCCCATCTGTTGCGGATGCCGACTTTCGCCATAATTGGCCGCGATGAGTGCTGGCTTTGTAGAAGCCCATGGTGGTGTTCGACCTTGGTCAATATGCTCCCCTCAATAGTACTTCTGCCATTATGCCGATAATCTTACCTCTTCTGCGTAGGGTCCTCTTGAGAAATCTCTGTGACATAGTTGGCGGTACATGCACAGAGCGCATATGTCCATCAATACTGCACGCTGGAAACTCCGAGGAATGCCATGTAGCTCAACTGGTATGCCGCGCCCATGAGCTTGGCATCCAGCGGCTCTACGCATCAGTCCATTCGCTAGGCATTGTCTGTAGACGATTAAGTTACGGCCGACTATCAATCCGCTCACAGGTTACAGCATGATGAAGCTCAGTTTCCGGCAGGTACAACAATTGAGAAAGAAGAGACGAACGATCTTGTAATACAAATGTCAAAGCGTTCGAAATCCTGCCAGGTCACGTCCCGGTCACGCTCAGCAAAAAACAAGAACGGAATAGTTCAAAGTTCGTTGCTTGCGGAAGCAAAGTCTGTTAGAGACCCCGCTCTGCTGGACCTACACTTCTCCCATCGTCATCCTTGTCCGACCGAATTTGTAAACTCGAGCGGGTAGCCTCTTAGAACCTGGCGCCTTGCACGTTCGGGGCCGCCGAGAATGCGTACGCAGGCTGCGGGATAATAGTGATGTTCTGTGGTGCGGGCTTCTCGTGGTCGTCGCGATACTCGGCATCCCGCTCCTCAGCGAGCTGGCCGACGTACTCGAATGCAATGACGCAGCCGTCTGTACGGACATTAGTCAGCGACCAATACGGGATGTTGAAAGCGAAGGCAAACCCACAGATCTCAATGAGCCAGAACAGGACGTAGACGACGACGACGATCGCGCGCCCCACGGCGAAGCCAGTACTGCAAGCCCAGTGCGTGACGTCAGCTGCGTTGGAAGAATCGGGAAGGCCTTGGGTGTTGTTGTCTGCGGCTGCCGTGCACTTATTGATCTGGTCGTTGCCCTCGCCGTGGAAGAGCTGGTAGATGAAGAAGATGCCGGCTACGACGTCGAGCACGGTCACGAATGTGATCATGCCTGCGTAGAGACCCACGAGAGACCGTATCCGACCGATGGCGCCAATAAGACTGTACGGACGTCAGAAAGCCGGTGTCAGCGTCCCCTGTTCTCAAGATGCCTAAACCTTGCTTGCCCGCTTGGTGTAACCGCATCACGCGCAAGACTGGGGTGCGGGCAACGAGCGCAAGAATCAACCGATAATAAGCGATGACTTACCCCAACAGTGATGTGAGCGCGAAGATGGTCATCGAAACCGCAAGGCACCAGAGCGCTATCTTCTCGCCCTGTGCGAGACCGAGCGTACCCTTCACTGTTTGACCCCGATCAACACGTCAGCATGTAGCATAGCAGACCGCGCCGGCGTTCTGAGGCCGGCGTTGATGACGGAGGAGCACTTACGCATAGCATGGATCTCAATCCATCCACCAACGGCGAAGAAACCCCCGACGGCAATGCCCAGGATCGACTCGCAGAACACACCGAATCTCACCGGGAGACAGCAGCAGAACTTGCGTGAACGGACGTAGACCATGGTGCCTGTAGGAGTATGAAAATCGCAAGATTTAACAGAGAAGAGCGAAGAATAACAGCCGCAAGTGCGGAGGCTCGAGAAAGCAAGAAGGGTCGGGAGAACAACGAAGGGAGACGAAGTCGAACGCGAACTGGGAGGCGCAGCCCTACAGGAAACCCGAGCGAAGGCGGGAGCAGGTCTTATATACCTGATCACCAGGGAGTGGGGTTGCAAGGCCAAACCGGCATCGAATTACGCTGATGGTGGTCAACGCCAGGATGAATGCGGTGCAAAGATGGCCGCCGACTTGCTTGTTGCCTTCGTCTCTTGAAGCCGCTCTTGCAGAGTGGCACAGCGCACCATGCGGAGCTCGCTTGCCTATCAGAAAGTGGGAAGTTTCGTCTACAACGGGGCACATACCATCGCGAAGGGTGCGGTTGTGCAGGTCGCAGTGCGAGGAAGGGGAGGAAGGGGGTAAAAAGCGGTGCTGACATCAACCCGGCCTGTCGATCACTGCACGGTTGTTAGTATTCGGCTATGCTGTTGGCCTCTCCTGATCGTCATGTCATGTCCGTCCTCGCCAGGCCACTCGTTCGTTAAGAAGCGAGGAGGAACGGAGTATGTAGGCTGTCCTTAACGGGCTCGATCACGCCTGAATTCGTGAGATGTGGATGAGATGGGTGTAATATAAATTCCCACTGTTCTGAACGACTACGCGCTCCCAAGAAGTCCTCCAATCCCCGCCCAGAAGGACTTGAGGACCCCACTTCTCTGACTACGATCGAACAGCATCGATCCTTCTGGGAAAAACGAAGTAGTGGGACCAAAACGCAGTATGACAGTGGCAAGGCCATCAGCAAATGTGCTGAACCGTGGCAGTGGCAATGCAACGCGTGCCCGGAATGGTAACACCAAAATTGGCAAGCAGGGAATTGGAACGCATAAGCTCGCCATTGCAAACCTTGGCGGGGCGAGTCGATAATAAGGCCGTCGGGGATTTTGATGGCAATGACATTGCCTGCAAGAAACTCGCCATATATAACTTATAGATTGACCATTGCTTGACATACTTACAGAATGGGAATGACATGTGCACGGGTGAGACTGTATGCCTCTGTCGCTCAAATTGCCGCCCATCCACGGCGCTGATCGCTCCTTCGCCCGCAGCACACCTCACCCGTCACCGCTACAAATAGTCTCGTGACCAGACGTTCGGAGCTTGAATCGGATGCGAAAAACCGGGGGCATCCGAGCTCCTGAACGTCTGGTGGCTTTACCCCCGTGACTCCCCGCTCGGTGACCGGTGTGACCTCCCTGCCTCTTGTCCTTCGTGCGCGTCTGCCTGCTTATCTCCCCGCTATCTTCGAGTCGCGCTGAGCCTACTCCGCTCTTTGTCGACACTCCTCTAACTGGTACGTCTCTATGACATCTACAAGCCTTTGCTACACATCCTCCATACTCAATCTGTCTATCTCTCATATAGGCAGTACACAGTAGTCCGCTCCATGGGCGCTTATAGATCCTCGCGCACCCAGTCTAATCCCACCAACAGCGCCTCTGAGACATCCGCCTGCCACTGGTGTGGCACCTTCCCTCCCATGCGCTGTC